TTGTGTGTACTTAGAGGAAGAGCCTGAAAACGGATTTCAAATGAAACTGTAGGTGAAGTCGCTGTTGCTGTGGTAGAAAGACCGTCAGGTTCCCAATGTTCTTAGACAAGTGCTCTAGCTGTTAAGGGATTTGTCGCTCCCTTGGTCGATAGTACGAAAGATTTTGCGATCCCTCGTAAAATGGTGTGCATACAAGATCCAAGTTTTCCAAGGGCTGCACGAGTGGATTTTGCTATCCTTGCTTTGGCCGGAATAGCCTTGACAATGCATGGTCTTGAGCATTTTGTGTTCGGTCGAATCCTATTTTGCCCTAGACGGTGCAGTTAATATTCAAAACGGTCACATGTGAGGTACTGCAGTCCCAGTATTGCGTATAAATGGTCTCTGCATCTTAATTACATTACTGTGGGGTGTGGTTTTACTACTGATTTCATCCATGGTTCCTTTTTCTTGGAGAAGCACACTCTCAAGGCCCTCAAAGGTGTTCCATCACGGGTGCCCATTACTGCGATCTGTTTCGCTAGCAAATCGTGACACTCTCTCATATACACGTTACACGTGGGGAAGACGACGAAAACGCCCATACAGTCAGCCCGTTCTCTGAGATTCGAACGCTGGATCGAAATACCAGTGTTCAGCGACTCCGCCGCAGGTGGGGACGGATTTGGGAAAAATAATGCATTGGATTCTACACTTTCAAAAAGAAAGTAGTTAAAGTTTGTAGGGATTAATATTAATTTTTTTAACCAGTTAAATTTAAGTTTATGTGTTTTCTTCGAATCCTTCATTCCCCTAATTGTCAATGCCAGAATATTTAAATTTGGTAGCGCGCGTGGAGTAACGCAAATTCTACCTTGAAAAGAAAAGGTTTAAATACCGAGTTTTAGAAAGGGAAAGCTAGAGAGTTTGGCTAAGCGCTGTATTTTTGTAGCGTGAGCTTCTGTCTGCATTTATTGCTGGGTAGCCACATTACCACATAGGCATTGGCCACTACTGACACCGGAAGTGGTGTTCACTTAATTATGGAGGCGCCTAACAGGTGAGCCACCGTTGCCTGCTGTGAGTAAAGCAAGTGCTCACGTGCAGAAGTGGTGTCAGTCTTGAGATATCTGTGCAGGCCGGAAAGCACCACAGCCGAGGAAAGCTGCAAATTTGCAATTTGGGTTCGCCTTCGATATCCTGGGACTTCTGCCCGATCTGCTACTGGCAACAATCACATCCTTGCTGTCATTGATTACTTCACAAAATGACCTGAAGCGTATCCTATCCCTGATTAAAAGGGAATCATGGTAGCAGAGGTAACGATACGACATTGTATTTTCAGGATTGGGATGGCCTGTTCAGTTACATTCCGATCACGTAAGGAATTTTATCTCGGCTGTAATTAAAGAATTCTATAAACTACTGCATGTTAGAGAGGTTTAATTGAACCATCCTTAATAACCTCTCACTGATGGTTTTCAGAAACCAGTATGTCTGGGATCAGAAGTTAGCTCTGTTGTTACTGGCCTACCGCAATGCCCTCAACGAGACACCGGCTATTCCTCATTACACATGATCTTCGGTTGGGACCTTCGTTTGGCTTGTGATCTCTTGTCGAGGTCGCCATATAGATGCGCCATCATCCCCTGAGGATTACATTCAAGATCTCCAGGCACGGTCTGAAGTAATGCATGAGAACGAGTCAACTTGACAACAGAGAAGATGAAGATCCGATATGGCACGAGAGCTATAGAGCTTCTATTCAACGAAGGTCATAAAATGGGGTTATGGAATCCGATTCTACGGAAAGGACTTTCTCCTAAACTACAGTCACCCTTGGATGGCCCTTACACAATCCTAAAATCCTAAACACTCTGAACAACTGCGTAGTTCGGATCTGTAAGCCATCAATTTCTAAGACTAGAGTCGTTCATTAAGGCACCTAGCCCGTACTATGGCCATAGTACGTATTCCCCATAGTGTATGTAATGTAAATAGTATACTAAGACCATGGTCTTATTCATATATAAATTTGTAAATTCATGCATTTAATTATTGATTTAATGTTTGATGTATGTTATTTATTGAATTATTGTTGTTGTATTGCATTAATTTTCCCTAGTATTAAGCATGGCTTTTTGTCCAGGTATTGTACTGCCCGGAACGTGCAGTCCTTGGTAGGGGGGACAATGGTATACATGTAATTTTATATACATGTAAATAATATTTTGTGAATTTTTTGTAAAACTATAGTATTTTTTGTATATTGTAACATGAAAACCTGAAGAGACGAAGCTTTGCCGGAAAAATAAGAATACTGTTTAACATTGAATAAATGGCTCTCTGACAAATTTGGCGAGAAATTGCTGAAAGTCTCCAAACTTGGCGGTCATTTGGCGACATTGTAGTGGAATCCCCGTAAAGCTGTAATTGGTCTGATTCCTATACGTAACTGCACCCTGTCCTATAAGAAACTGTAAGTGTTCTATCTATATGCCTTCCCGCACTTTCCAGAAATCGAAGGTATTGCAAATTTCTTTGCTCCCGGGAGAATAAGAGCAGAGAGAGCATCAGTCCTCAGATGAGTTCGGAGTATTGAGAGATCTCCGTGGGAGTTTCGTTTTTTAAATGCGATGTGTTTAAAATTTTTAGTCGTTTGAAGTGGTAACTACTGAGTGTGGTCTGTCATTCTGAGAACAGTTATGCGAGTACTTTTGTGAAAAGTTTCAAAACTGTAAAGTGTTTCTTTTGGAAAAATACATTTTATCAAGCTTTTGTCCGTCCTGTGTGCATTCAGTCCATTACGAATCCGTACGCGCGTACGTATGTATTAGAATAAAAGTGTGGTGAATCTAATACACATTCTAAGTTGGGCATTGAAGACATTGAAAATGCAAATTGAATTTTGAGGATTAGCGTATTAAAGAAGGAGTTATAAAACTAACCTTCCTGTTTCTTTTGCAGGGTGCGTTTTAATGAAAACTTCCAAATTATGATCAGGAATAAATATTGGGAAACAAATTATAGAAACTTTATTTTGTTATCACAGTAAAACTTCAGCTATCCAGAAAACTTGGATATGAGATACCGGATATGGGAAAATTCCGTATAGTTGAGTGCGTAAAAAATGGAATTCATGTTAGAAAAGCTAATTGAATACACTACCCGGCATTAAAAATGCAACACCAAGAAGGAGTGGCCCGAAAATTATGCAAATTTCAGGTAGATGCACTTTACCAAGTTATGCAAATGATGTAAAATGCACAGCTCTTCAGCGCACGTTGAAGAAGATATAAGGGAAGGAACCTGCAGAATGTTAAATTTTCGTGCCGTTATTTCTGCTAGGAAAATCATTGTAGAAAATTTGTTCTTGTATCACACGACGCGTATAATAGCAAAGAATGTCAGGCTGTCGTCAACTGAGGCAGTTCCAGGAGACAGACGATTTTACGAGGGACATGGTGATCGGACTGAGAAGGGGGGTTGGTCCATATGGCAAATCTCAGCTGAAACACACTTGGACGTATCCACAATGCACCGGTTATGGTGACGATGGTTGAACAAGGAAATGAGGCAATTTTGAGGGATGCCGATGTAGCCAGAGGACGTCAGCACGCGTGGATTGACGCATCGGCAAGCCATTTCTACCTCCATTCTGTAGCCATGTTAGAGTCGCTCTGGGTGTTCCCATATCGACCAGAACCATTTGCCATCGATTGATGGCTAGTGGCCTGCACTCGTAGCGTCCGTTAAGAAGACTACCACTGACTCCACATCATAGACGCCAACGTCTGCAATGGTGCCGGGCTCGAGCGATGTGTACGACGGAATGGCACAGGGTCGTGTTCTCAGATGAGTCACGCTTCTGTTTCTCCAATGATAATCGCCGCGTACAAGTGTGGTGTCGATGTGGAGACAGGTCCAATCGGACAGCAGTTGCTGAACGCACCTCTCCCATCATGGTTTGTGGCGTAATTGCGTATGATTTCAGGTTACCTTTTGTTCGTATTCTGGGCACTATGACAGCCCAACGATATGCGGATGATGTGCTGCGGCCGGTGACACTCTCCTACCTTCATGGAATGCCCAGTGGCCTTTATCAGCAGGAGAACGGCCGACAATACACTGCTAGCTTCAGCCAATGTGCTCTGCAAGGTGTACAGATGCTTCCCTTTTCACAGTTATGTCCTGATTTGTCACCAATCGAACACATTTCAAATGTGATTGAACATTTGCAGACCGTTTGCCATTACCGCGTTCAGAAGACGAACTGTGGCAAATGGTTGACAGGAAATGGAGAACCACTTCTCAGAACCATCCGCCGTCTCATTGACTATATACCTTGACATGTTGTTTCTTGTATTGTTGTCCAAGATGGTCCTACAACCTACTGAGCCGATGCTATTATCGCTCTGTACTGTGCATATTATTTCGAAATAAAGATCTCTTATTATTCGTTGCTGGCTTATAAGGTATTTCTCCCGCCTTCTTAGCATGCCTTCGTAGTGTAGTGGTCAGCACACTCGGCGCGTATTCGAGAGGCCCGTGGTTCGAATCCCGGCGAAGGCGTTGCTCATTTTTCATATCTCCTGCTTCCAAAAAATCCTAATGACTCTACACTGGCTCCCGAACTAAAAATGGTGGCGGATGATGATTCTTCGCAACCAGGATTTGGCGAATGAGTCTCCTAATCCCCAGTTGCCCTTTAAAAGGGGGAGTATATATAAGGTATTTCTCCCGCATTCTTACTATGCCTTAGTAGTGTAGTGGTCAGCACGCTCGGCGCATATTCGAGAGGCCCGTAGTTCCAGTCTCAGCGAAGGCGTTGCTCATTTTTCATATCTCCTGCTTCCAAAAAATCCTAATGTCTCTACAGGCGGTCTCTCTCTCTCTCTCTGCCGAGTTTCATCACTTTCTGGCCACTTCTTCTTAGTGTTGCATTTTCAATGTCAGGTAGTGTATAAGATCTTATCAACTTGAATATCAAATACATATATTTAAAATTTTGTAAGATTTCGGGGTGTGGTGGGGGAATAAATTTCAGACATAAAATCCGATGTATTTCGTAGGCCTTAAGTAAAATGCGAAAGTAAAACATCTTATTCAATTATGAAATTCCGCGTAACATGAAATTTGACGGAGCTGTAGACAAATTTGCACCAAGCATTCGTTAGACGTTCAAAATGAACAGATCGGTCTTCGCGTATCGTGCCGTTTTTTGATAACAGGATCTTGTATGTTTGAAAATATTATTCTGCATGCTGTTTCGTAGAAGATAGGTCACAAATATGAATCGTTTTTTGAAAATGCGAGGAAAAGCAGAACTTATATCCTTCTATACAAAAATTAAACTGGCTTATTGCCATTACCGCGTTCTGAAGACAAACTGTGGCAAATGGTTGACAGGAAATGGAGAACCACTTCTCAGAACCATCCGCTGTCTCATTGACTATATACCTAGACATGTTGTTTCTTAAACTCAAATGAATTGAGTTTACTTAAAAAAAAAAAAAAAAAAAAAAAAAAAAAAAAAAAAAAAAAAAAAAAAAAAAAAAAAACAACCTGAGCGAAGTTCTTATGATTGTGTTGTGACATCATGCTTATCCATTCTAGCGCTACATCAGCTAAATCACACTATTGCCGCAATATATACGTTTGACGGCATTGTATACTTGTCAGTAGCATAATGAACTCTATGACGGCGTTACAAATCTATCATTCATTTAATTTTGCGGGGAAAAGTTTTTAAAATTTCTAAAGTATTCCTGTTTGTTGAGCTTCTCAGTTGAATGACGGATAGCCGGACTTCTTATTAGTATATTTCCACCTCCCATTTCCACCTTTCCATTACTTTTCCACCTCCGATAAGACTGAAATTTTCCATATATTTTTAAGAAATATGTATGCATGTATATTTCTTTCTCTTTTTTTTCAGAGATATTGTTGTAATATTATTAAGTCATGATGCCTCAGCGAACATTGTAGATCATAAAGGATGTACACCTCTTCATTTAGCTGCTTGGTCTGGAAATACAGAAATAGTTCAAGTTCTTTTGATGCATGGACCTTCTTTTCCAAGTGTAAATCATATGGTATGTTGTTTTCCTAAAAAAGGAGATTTTACTCTTGTAGATGAAATGGTATATTTATAATTCATATAATGTACAGTCATATTATGGTAAAAGCGTTTAATGGTCTCATTACTTTTCACTGTAAATTTATATCACTATTTTTCCTTGAAATGCTTGTAAATCACGTGTTTGAGACCATACCATTTTATTTTCCTCTTTGTGTTCTTTTGTTGAGTGCATGGCATTTCATCCATGTTCTGCACTATAGAAAGGAGCGTTTAACCTATTCTCTAGCATCTATTTTATCTGTGTGGCTCCCGTGTGTTGCCCTTTCCAAAAACAAGTCTGCTTTATAAGCTAAGTCACTGCTTATATTGTTCATGGGCTGCAATATTTGCAGAAGTCAAAAAATGACGTTTGGATAATGATAAATGTGTTTTAAGTTTTCCTTCACTTTGAAATGCAGGGATCACTCGCTTAACTGATGGATTAAGGGGTAAGCATTACTAAAAAGCTTCATAGATGTTCTGTTATTAATAATAGTTACAAAATGTTATAAAATTAACATCATTTAATAATACATTTTTATGAAATTGTGTTATTATTGTCATTAAGTATGTTGAGCTATACTGGAAGTTCATGTAAAGGAAAAAGTTAGAGATAAGAAATTAAGTTTCATTAATAATGTTACTATATTATGACATGTACTACAAAATTATAAAAAGGCATTCTTAGTGTTCCAATGCTACATCGTTAAACAAAATACAAAAGAAAGAGCAGTTTTCTAAGAATAGCCTATATTTACGTAAGTTTCAAAATACAACCTATTTTTATGAGTCAAGTTTTATATTGTTATAAAATGTTGAATAACAGCTTATTATTGCGATTAAACGTTGCACACCGTCAAATTCTTCTTTGATATTGCTAGAGATTTGTTGTAAGCTTTCTTTTCAGCATTGCTCCCAGGGACGACTGTAGACTTTCCTTCCTTCCATAGGCTTTCACGCTGACAGTTTAAAATCTGTTTCCTTAAAAAAAGTCTTATAGAAGAAGTAACCCAATCCTCCCCCTACTTTCAGCACAGAAATGTTGTTGAAGCGTATAGTGTCTTTGTTACTATTTGCAATAAAATTTTCTGATATGTGAGATCTTTTACATGAGTAGTCCCATTTCCAAAAGCTTGAAAGGGTTGCCTTGTTTCTTTGCCATTCTAATTAAAGAGACATATTGTTCTGGCCGATGATAGTGGGTTCTTTTCTTACTTTATATTGCATTCAAACATCAAATAAACTATTTTTAAGTATTTAAGTTCAGAATAATCCAGTACAAATATATCGTTCATGTAACTTACCAAATTGTTCTAAAGATTTTTTCTTTATTTTCAAACCTTTCTGCTTATGATCCATTTTGACTTATAATAATCGTAATCGTTTCGCGTGGTCTGTTTTACTTTTTTTTTGGGGGGGGAGGGCCCTTACATTTTGCTGGCGTTGGTGTCTTCGTTTTCATAGAGGGCACCAGTGCCTCACACCTCCCCATTCAAGTGGGTGTTCAAATGGTCTAAAAAACGTATACTTTACTTGAAATCGACTAAAGGAACAATATGTATTTAAAATTGATCGTATATGAATACAAACATAAGTATTTAAAACATAAGATTTACCCTGTCACTAGCTGCAAGAATTTCATCAACAGTCAGTCCAAAGTCATTTCGCACTAACTGCCTTCTTATATTTGAATCTGACTGGCATATCACTAATTATATCTTCATAATTTGTAACACTCATCCAAATAGTCATCAAACGTTTTGCTATCTGGATCAAAAACTGGTTTAGATTTCGAAATTACTTTATCAAATAAGGATTTCTTTTTAACCTTTATCTTTCCTGTGTGAGTTGACTTAATCATTTCTTTCTCAAACTGTAATTCAGAATAACTTTTAGAATTTGTAACCTCAGGACCTGATTTTTCAGAAGCAGTTTCTTCAAACTGTTCTTCGCCGCACTCATCACTTACTTGCTCCAATCCAATGGCCCCAACCTTCATTATCGAGTTCCAAGTTCTTTTCTCTTTAAACCTTTCAAACGTTTTAGTTCTTCTCTTTTATACTGTTTCTTCCTTTTTTTCCCCTTTCAATGTATTCTTCTTTCTTTTATTATAAACACGTCTGAGAGAATCTTCAATCATCCTTGGATATCATTTAATGAATTTTGAATTCGACTCTTCAAATCGGAAATTATACTTACGCTCAAACAATTCTTCTTTTTGCATATCTTTTTCATCATCACTCAGCGCAACAATATCTGTTTGTACATAACCTGGAATCTCATCATTATTGTCTTTTTCTTTATTCTTCTTATCCAAAATAAAATCTCTCAAAAATTTCGCATTCTCATCCAGGTTTGGATCATTCCTAAACTTCTTCAAAAAGCACATTTGCTTCTTAACATCTTTTGGTATTTCTTTTTCTTGACCTTTCAAACATTTTAAATAATCAGCCTCTTCATCTTCCTCTTTTTTCTCAGTTTTCTGACGGACTTGCTGTAAATCACTTGCCTGTTCCTCTTGATCAGAACTAACAGGAATATCTTCGTGAGACCGATGTACATCACTTACATACAGACTATTGATACAACTTTCAAAATTACTTTTAGATGCAATCAGTTCATTATAAGCACTAAAACTTGATAGTTAATCATGTACTAGATTATCAACTGTAAAACACACGATTGTAACAAGCGCGTACACTATATTTGGTTGTGAACTCATCACTAAATCTACATTTATTAAAGTTGCATTAACCGTATGTCCAAATGCAGATTTTAATATTACACTTCCACATGGTCTTTTACAAAACTCTTGTACAATAGTACTCTTTATAATACTGATCTGAGTAGCAGTATCAACGACAGCATTTAACACTTTATTATCACATCTACTTGCACCGTAATTAAAGAATCAAAATGACAATTAATTTTGTTAGACCTCTCCTTCAAACTCATTAAAGCATCATTTGATGTATTTGCTGTAAGTAAATGATTTTCGGTTTTACTACATTGTTTATCGATATCCAAATTTTGCATTTCAGAATTACATAAAGACATATGATGAGGTTTACTGCATAATTCACAATGAATTTTTATTCAGCAATCTTTCCTCCATATGCCTCTTATCGAAGCATTTGTAACACCAACCTGTCCTTTTAGGTTTTCTCTTTTCGAGCCTATGTCAATTTATGAACAATTTCCTGCGTCACGGGTTAGTGAATCACAAAATAAACATGCTTTAGACTCGAACGATAAGGCATAAGGCTTCTCACTAGCCAGTTGTTTATATTCGCCTTGCTGCTGATGACGATCTACATCTGTTCGTAATGCCTTGTTAGGGTTAAACTGAAAATCTTGACTTTGTATAGCCATTCTATCGTCTGCATTAAATGCGTTTACTCTCTCTCGAGCTTGTAATTCTTTTCTGGGAAATTCTAGAAATTTATTTACATCGAAACATGTCTCATCCCCATTCATACGATTGTATCCTAATCCTAAATATGCTGGAATTACTCTAAATAAAACTGGAATCAACATATTGTTATAAGTTTCAGGATTAACATTTAAAGAAGAAAGACTCCGAACTTGTATTTCTATAGTGTCATATAATTTTCTTAATTTTAAAACGTCACTTGGTCGGTAAACAGGAGAGCGATTTAGGAGTTTTTGTAAATGCGTATTTAGGATAACATCGCATCTTCCAAATCTAGTATTAAAAATTTGTATTGCTGCATCGTAATTTCCTTCAGCTATTGAAAAACCTTCTATAACAATGGCAGCAGTTCCACTTAAGTAGGATTTAAAGTAATTAAATTTTTCTACTTTCAAAAGAGTAATATTATCGTGTATCACAATTCTGAATGAATTCCAAAAACTTATCCATTGACTGACGTCACCATAAAATTTAGAAATCTCTAATTTAGGAAGACGATCATGATGATTTTCACTCTTAAATTCATTTGACTTAATATCCGAGGTTTTTTTGGGGGTGGGGCTGTTGTTCGAGACTAGCTTTTAAATATCTATTTATTCTAGATTTACGTAAAATTATTTTATCCTTATAATTCATAGAACTTTCAGTTTCCTTTTCATATTTCTTTTCTTCATCTATCAAAGATACAATTTCTTCATCTAAATTATACAGTTCTTTTTCTTTTTCTATTAATAATGCTAAAGACCCTTCTAGTAAATTTTCAGTTTCACTGTTATTTGTATATCGTCATCTACTTTGTTTACAATGTTAGTTATTGATGAACTGAAAGATCCGCGCTTTTTAATAAGCATTTTCATTTTAACGTAAACGATGTGAAATATTTACCTTTAGAAGTCTTCAAATATACACTTTTTAATCCGATCCGAAGGTAAGGATAAACTAACTCTTTGATGCCATTATTCTAATATTTCACTTTTCTGACACCAGTTTGCCGTGACCGATGATAGTGGGTTCTCTTCTTACTTTACACTGCATCAAACCTCAAATAAACTATTGCTTTTTAAACGTTTTTATTCAGAGTATTCTAGTACAGCTATATTATACATGTAACTTACAAAACTTTTCTAAAGATTTTTGCTTTATTTTTAAACCATTCTGCGCGTGAACCATTTTGGATTACAATATAATAATCTTAATCGTTTCGCGAGGTCCGTTTTACTTTTTTTTTTTTTCCTCGTGCATTTCGCTGCCTTTGGCGTCCTCATTCTTCATAGAGGGCGCCAGTGCCTCTAGAAGAAGTAACCCAATTTTCCTCCTCCCCCTTACTTTCAGCACAGAAATGTTGTTGAAGTGTATATAGTGTCTTTGTTTGTATATGCAGTTAGTATGTCTATCAGTTAGTATGTTTGTGTGCTTATATATAAGTGTACATATATATGCATACATAAGCATTGCTTCATCATTATAACGGATTCGGTTGGGCCCTGAATTCACATAGTAATGAAGAATTCTGCAGTGAAAAATCAGATGCAGTGAGGCTTCACTAAGATAACCTTGGCGGCAGTTAATGGTTTTGGTCTGTTGTACAGGTACCTTAGAAAGTATAAGTCCCAATCAGTACTGATATTCCTTATATTCGCAGAAATGTTGGCTGCATTCCGAGGTGGGCAAGAGGAGACTTTTTACTGCATTTATATGGCATGAGAAAAATTAAATGCCTATATACCGAATCAAAAAAGGGGGGGATATTTCTTTATATCCCGTCCTATTCGGCCGATTGACGAAATTCAGCTTGAGCTTTTAATGTCCCCGACTCAAAATATATATTACATAGCGCTATTCTAAACATACGTATTTTGACACAAAATCGGACTGTTTCTAAATTAACAGGCCAATTTGTTTCTGTATTTCGATTCTACACATCAGTAAGCCAAACTACCAAGTTTTGTAAAAATCGCAAATGCAGTTTTTTTTTTTTTTTTTAAATTAGCAAAATTTTAACCCCGAAATGTTAATTGGATTTTTGCATATATTAAATAATATCGACTTCTAAATTAGAATTACTTAATTTGTTCTTTCATAGTTCGAAATTTTATTTTAATCCAACTAAAATTCATATGTTTTCTATGGTTTATTTCAAAAATCTGAATTTTTAAATAATTTATAAATTTCCGAAACAATTTTGAATTGTTTTTCCAAAATCTTAAAATAGATGTATTTCTAGTCGTACCTGCAAAAAATTGGAGATTTTTATTCAAAATTTCCGAAGATAAACATGGTGTTTTGAAATTTGACATGTTTGTTATAAGCGATAACACCAATGTGGTTTATGTCTGTTACAATGTTCAGTTAATTGCAACAGTTATTTTGAATTTCCAAATAAACTTTTATTGAGGATTATTGACGTGGAGTTTCATAATTAATGGTGCACAATAAATATTTGTTAATAGTATATGAAAAGCCAAATTTAAAATTTTTAAAAATATTAATCAAAAGGTTGAATTTTTTGGTCCCCTTTTATAAGAGCAAATTCTTATCCTCGCCATTTTATTATCTGCTATTTTACTGAACTTCATTTTACATACAACGAAATTTATTGCAGATTTCAAAATTGTGCATCATATATGTAATCAGTACTTCTGAATACAGGAAACAATGGGGAAAAAGAAATATTTTTATTTTTATTTATTTATATTATACAATATTATATTTATCTATTTAGTTGGATAAAATTTAGTCTTTTTTATGTTATGCTGTTTGATTCCTGCTATTTAAAAAAATGAAAAAATTTGAACTTATTCGGAAATATATTTTAAAAAATTGAGACGTAGGAAGCTAAAATTCAGTAACGCAATGGCACAGTCATAAAACAGTGAAAAACTCTTTTTATGCATATCATTCTAAATTAATATATAGATTATATACACTTTATAATTTAAAAAAAAATCGATGCACCAAGAAAGAATTATACGATTGCTTTGAAATTTCGTATGCATACATTTTTTTGACCAAATACGCAAATGATTAAAATTTGGTGTCCAATGGATGAATAGTGCGATCTCCAGCGTATCCAGCAAATGTATATAAGGAGCTGTTCTTGAAACTCTTGTTAAAAATTTCTTTTGCATTGCCGCAGTATTCGAGCTCGTTTCGAGCAAATGTCAGAGTTTGAAAGAGGTCTTATAATTGGATTGAAAGAGGCAGGTTGGGCAAATCGGAGAATCGCTCGTGATATGAGTCGAAGCGATGTGGTGGTTAGAAGATACTGGCAAGAATGGGTGGACAATGTTATATTTCAGCGTCATGATGGTAGCGCCGACCTAAGGCCACGACAGATCGGAAGGACAGAGTGATTGTAAGATCAGCTGTCACAGCGCCTGATTCATCGCTATCAACCATCAGACATGCGACTCGCATACGAGTGTCCGGTATGACCATTCACAGACGGCTGATGGAGCGAAATCTAACCTTCGTATCGACCGTTATGCAACTTGCCACTCACGCCTGTACACTGCCAAGCTAGATTACAGTGGTGCTTGGCTCGATCAGGTTGGAATGATGCTGACTGGGGACGTATAGGCTTTAGCGACGAATCCCGCTTCCAACTGCGTTGTGACGATCATCGAAGACGTGTCTGGAGAGGTCCCGAGCAGCTGATCCTGGTTTCACTATTGCACACCACACAGGCGCTCAATCAGGAGTTATGGTCTGGGGTGCCATTTCCCTTGATAGCTGGACCCGTTTGGTCGTCATTAGAGGCACACTTACAGCACAGCTGTACCTTGACGACATTCTGAGACCTCTTTTGCTACCGTTCTTTTTGCAGTGCCCTGGCTTTATTTTTCAGCAAAATAATGCCAGACCACATACGGCACGTATTGCTATGAACTGTCTTACAACTTGTCAAACACTTTCTTCGCCAGCTGGATCGCCAGATGTCTCTCCCAACGAGCATGTCAGGGATAAGATGGGAAGGCGACTGCATCTACCAGGGAATGTTGATAACCTAGCTCGTCAGTTGGAGCAAATTTGGAAAAAATTACCGCAGGAGACCATCTGAGAGCTCTATCAGTCTATGCCACGCCGTGTGGTAGTTTGCATCTAGGTTAGACGTGGGTCAACACCTTACAGAGCTCGTTATTTTGTAACTATGTAACTCTGAAATGAATCATTCAATTGTTATGAAATTTTAATTATTTTCTATTCTGTATATAATCTTCCTATCCACCAATTTTTGTCTCCATCGGACAACTCCTTCTCGGTGCGTCGATTTTTTTTTTTTTTTTGGTTATAGAGTGTATCTTTCTCACTTTTATATTTTTTCTGAACTGCCCATATGAAGACGTATTAATCATGCTTTACGATATTTTCTCTTTAAGGGCAAAGTGGAGTTTTCAAGGTCATTTTGACGAATACTGGATCTCCTAGCATTCTTTCGAAAAAACATTTATAACAATAAACATGCTTTTAAAGGACACAATCCGAATGATTAAAAAGGAATTTTTAAAGTGACTATTTTGAAGATCTATAATTAAATTGTGCAACTCAAATAATTAAAATAAACTTCTTTAAAAAGAAAACAAAATCTAAAAATAACAACTATGATTTAAAAAAATCTGAAAGGTTTCAGATTTAAAATTACGTCCAAAGGGGCGTTTTGTGTGTTACCTTTCTTTATTAAATATCATGTTCTTTGCACTTAAACCATAAAATTCAGTTCAATAGCAATGTTGCAAAATAATTTTAAAATGAGCATATCTTTAGAATTTCCGATACACAGTTCTGCTCGCTGGAGATAAAGAGGTTGCCCCCCCCGTAAAGTGTTGCCATTGCTCGCTTTGAATTCCTTGAGTTTGTTAATCAAAAATTCGTTAAAGTTTTACAGAATATGAAATCAATAATAAAACAAATTTCAAATTTCAAATTTGGTCTTCCACATGCCCATATTGGTAGGAGGATTACGTCATTCAAAATTCGATGGCTCTATGTACCGTTGTTTTATCACAATGCGAGAAATATACATACATTTATGCAGATTTTTCATTATTTAATTTCTTCAAATATAATGCAGGACTCTAACATTTGGTACAACAGTTTGAAAAGTGAAACGGACATTTATAGTTATTCAACGCAAAATCGCAAAACGAAAACAATAGTCCTTCGGGGACAAACCCCTTTGGGCTAAATAAAAATATTTGTAAGAAGAAACGAGACATTTTTTCCGCGCTTTCAGAATGAAAGGGTAACGAAAACGTTATTCCTGCTCGTAAGAAGTCTTCATGGTGTTAATATAAAAGTCAAGATGTAAACGTTAATTTTGTGATAGTCATTGTTGAAAATAATGATTCACACAAATTTGCGGAACCAAATTAAACAATTTTGTATAGTATAATGCTCTTTTCAAGAATAGAAATTTTATTCCATGAACTATATTCCACAGGTTCTCGTCTGGTGCATTGGATTATAGAACAATGTCATTTTCAAAAACCAGAATTTTAGGCTCCAGTTCTTCCGTTCTTGCTCAAAATAAGCTCTGTAATCAATATGCAGCTACTTCACTTTCATTTACTTGGCAAGCAAAAGGATTGATGAAAAAGATGACCAGTGTCTCGATAATATTAATCTGTTGTAATTGTTTTTCAGACTGTAACTGAAGGTTGATAGCAAATGACGGCAAGTCAGTTTGAGGTTCGCCTATCATTTTTTTTTTTAATTTGGGAAATTCACAAGTGACTTCCTCTGCAGATGTAATATCCACGAAACCAGTTTAAACAACTTAACAGACCCTATCATTAAAGCTATATGTTTTCTTTGTTCCTGAAGCTCCAAGTTTAAATAATTCAATTTCTCAGTTATGTCCGTAAAAAATCTAAATGCAGCGAAAGTTCGTTAATTCAGCAAAATTTTGATTTTGAGAGGATTTTTATTTCTTCAGATAGATTTATGCACCTTATAAGTACTTTGCCCTTACTGTGCCAGCGTACTTCAGTGTACAGAATTAGATTAGAATCTAGGATTTTATAGTAGGGCCTTGAAAAAGCATTGTTGCAAAGGGGCTGCTTGAATAAAGCTTATTATTTTTTAAACAATTTTCATGACCGAAGGGCATTATTCTACCGCGCAAAACTTCCTAGTAAGATGATACAGTGATACTAGTAAGTTTGGAAAATGACGATAATAAATCTATTAATATTTTTAATCATTGCTGTTGCCCCATCAGTGGTTATCGCCAATAGCTTGTGCAGAGGCATATCTATAGACTTTGATTATGTTGAAGATATTCTTACCTCATGTTCATCCTTTCATGGGTAATATTTTCAGTAGGTTACAGCAAAGTTATTAAATACCATTCGCAGCAGAATTGCTAATTGTGTAGCGTGTGATGTATATGTAGACTCATTAAATTGTAATGAGAACCAGTCACATAGTTTCATGTCACGCTTTAACTGAGCTTGCATGTGTATTGACAAGTTCTACACTCTCTTTGTGGTTGAGATATCTCACCGTAAGTCTTTAACTGCTAATATAACCCCACTTTTGTTAGAAAATCCCTGACAAAGCAATAAGCACTAGTTAAAAGGCTTCTTTTAATAACTTACCATCATGGAAAGGCTTTTTCTTCTTTGCGAGCATGTGGGAAATTTTGAGAGAATCTATATTGGCATTTTTATATTTTACCAGCGGCTTAGTGAAAACTCACAGTTAAGCAAATAAGTTTGATTTTAGTTGATTTCGTTTCGTCTTTCGTACTTCAGATTTAAGTGAATAGGTCGTATTAAAAGATATGTGAATTGTCTGAAAGGAACATTCAACATTATGTTTTTGGTCCGTGCAGCGCTACTGCCGGGAAACAGACAACTATATTTAAAAACTAACAATACAATAGGAGACACATACTCTAAAAGTATAAGCATATAAATAGCCATAAATATAAGAGGCATTTAAAGGGAATACCCACTGAATGGAATATTGTAGGGTCTCCCTTAGTTCAATTAACTGATTGCTCAAATTTTATCTTTCCTCAAAACTGCTCAAAATTATCTTTCCTCAACTACTTCCCCTCGCATTTTCTCACAAGGACGCTAATTGAAAGTTAAGCGAAGTGACATGTAGAGACATTAGGTTTAGTTTTAAAGCAGGAGAAATGAAAAATGCGCAACGCCTTTGCCGGGAATCGAACCACGGACCTCTGGAATGCGCACCCAGCGTGCAGATAACTACACCACGAAGGTACGCTAAGAAGGCGGGAGAAATACCTTATAAAGTATTTAAACGGGTGAAGCTTGGCGTTTATTCAGAGCGTGTTTTCGCTATCCACCGCACGTGACGCGTCTGTCCTTGCTGTTAAGTAGAGTTGCTGATACGTCTTTTTGGCCGTTTAAAAAATTTTCCCGCCGGGTAGGATGTCGAGTCAACCTAGCTAGCCTTAACTTAAGGTGCTAGTCTACTCTTTAGACTTTTATTTATTGTGTAAAGTTTCTTAAATTTCACCGCAAGTTGTCGGTGTTATTGTGAAGCACGAAGTACGTGCCTTTCTGCTCATAGCTGAGAATAATAAAAGGTTATTTTCACCCTTCTTCTGTGCTGGTATTTTTTCACGTCTGTGGGAGAAGTCGCCAGCTTTCTTAGTAGGATCTAGTAGAGTTTATGTGGACAAAGAGAGGAAGATTCTATAATGTCATAAATGACACCATCATAACAAATAATTACCATCTATGAACAATGGCATGCAGCAGTGGTCTCAGATTGGCAACTCTCGAAGCGATTTTATGCGACCCGCGATTACTTTTTCCGTAAATTAATTAGCATTATTATGACAAGAATTTGAAGAAACGTTTAAGATTTTAATGGTTTTGAATCCAATTTTTCATCATCTTTGGTTACTGAAAACGAATGTGAGTCCTGAGAACGTCCTTAAAATTTAGAAATGAAATAAATTAATTCACATTGTAATGTAAATCTTGTTCAAAGATCTGTAGATACAAGATTTATTAACTTTTGTTAGTTGTCAAAAGATAAATATACTCAGTTACGAATTCTGCAATAAGGATAATCACTTTGTATGGAAGTATATATATATATATATCTATATATATTTAAATTTAAACAAATTAAATTCAAATTTTAACAAACATGTATAAAAGTAAAAAAGCAAATTTAAAGCCAAAAATTAAAAAAAAAAATTAAAAGCCAAAAAAATTTAAAAAATGTGTAAGCATATAAAAGATTTAATTCTCGAACTAATCTACAATATCATTTAAATTCAGAAGCATAAGCAAATCAAGTGCAAAACCAATCCATGAAAATAAATTCACTAATTTAGCAAATTAAAATTATTCCAAACAATTTTTTTTTTTAAATGCATAAATGAATGACTGTTGAGCAGGCAGGAGACAGATTTATCAAGGGGAAGTTGCTTCCAAACCTAACTCTCCAATCATTCAATTCGTGTTTTGTCATTCATGCAGGCAAGGGTAAAAGTCAAAACCAAAAGTAAAAAGTGAAGAATGTCCAAAAAGAATACCAATAAAGTGGTATCCTTAGAAATTAGCATTTAAGAATTAAAGTTTTAAAAGGAAAATACTAATGAAGTCTTGAGAAACAAGCAAGTAAAGTCAAGTATTAAATTAAACTTTTTTTTTAAATTAAATCTAAAAAAAATTAATTTTTTATAAAAAATAATTTAGAAACCTAATGTATTTTAGAAAACCTTGTCTACAGAAACCTCCCCGACACGAATATGCATATCAATCAAAAAGAAACTAAAAAAGAACTAGACATAATCCATATAAACCAATAAGAAACATAAAGAACTAATTCACATTTTTTAAAAAACAAATATATACTTAAAAATATAATTTCATATCTAGAAAATACTTAAATACTACATAAAAAATTAAAAAAAAAAAACTTAAAGCAAGTAAATAGTAAGTTTTAATTCTAACTTACTTACTAAATGAGTGTTGGGGTCTGCAAAAGTGTTTTTAAAGAGAAGTAAGTGTGTTCTTCAAATTAATTATATAGATGGTGCTTATGTAGGTAAAGTTGAGTGCCAAGCTGCTATTGTTATATTAAAAATTTTTTGCAAACATTAATATTAAAATAAATAAATAAAAATAAATCTAGAAAAAATTAAATTAAAAATCCTAAAAGTATGTAATTCAAGTTTTAATTTTAACGATAAATTATTTAGGGAGTTAAGCCAATCAAGAGAGGTAAGTTTGCTTGAAGTAAAATAGAGTTAAGTGGTATTGTGAATTAATAAATGTAAACTGTTTGTAATGTGAAATATGTGTTCTGTTGAAAAATTGTGTAAATATTGCAAGGCAAATAATTAAAGTAATTAAGTAAAAATGAAATGTTTTAAAATTTAAAATGTCAAAAAATTTTCCAAAAAATTTGTGAAACGAGGTCTTTAAAAAACCTCTAAAAAATTCCCAGTAATTTCCCAAAATTTCTTAAAGAAGTTAAATTTAAAGAAAGAAAAAATTGAAAGTTTAATGAACTTGATTTTAACTGGTATATCAAAACTTAACTAAATACTGGCTAAAGTATGGAAAATTAGAAGAAGAAGATTAAA